TGAGAAAATAGTGATTTTTTTTGCAAAATATACTAGGTGAAGTTATGAAGAATCCACACCATACTCTAAGTAGCAGTTTCAGAGGTTTTAAAATGTGCTTGAAATCAGCACACACACACACACACACACACACACACACACACACACACACACTGGCCAAAGTCACTGTCCTGTCGCCTCGTGTTTGTCGCCTGCTGAGGGTTTTGTTCCCTCTCTTCAGACGAGCTGCTGCAACAAACAAATTAAACAGGAATAATGTTTCTTGTTGAAGGACTGATGAGACACACACAGCTCAGATCAGACATGTCCTGAGTACAAAGATATTAAAGTTAAAACACTCCTGTGTATTTAAATTATGCATTTTCTAATGTACACCTCTGTGCAGCTAAACTATTTTCCTGTGTAAAAACATAGTCCTATATGGAAAAAATAACTGGATACCGCATAGCGGTAACATAATGACCCCCGCACACACAAATGCTCCAGAACTCAGAAGTCTTTATTCCTAATAAATGTCATGCAACCAGATGCATCCCAAAATTGTAGTTAGACCTGATGGATTTCCCCTGATCAGAGCTGAACAACAAAAGAAATCTGAAGCTCCTATGTTTAATAGTTTTTGAGCTATAACCATTTTTGTATGTCCAGATACCCATTTTTCAGATAAAGTGGGGGTCTGTGGGGAGGGGGGGGGCACTGATTGGTGGGCCTGATGGATAGAGCTTCATCAGAGCTAAACAACCAAAAAAATCTGAATCTCGTCTGTTGAACAGTTTCTGAGTTGTTAGCATTTTTTCATGTCCAGACCCCGCTTTTTCAGATAAATTGGGGGTCTGGGGTGGTGGGGGGCACTGATTGGTGGGCCTGATGGATAGAGCTTCATCAGAGCTAAACAAAAGAAATCTGAAGCTTCTATATTGAACACTTTCTGCGTTATAAGCGATTTTGCATGTCCTGACACCCCCACTTTGAAAGGAGCCCCCTCCTCAAATATGGGGTCTATCGTAAAACCGTTGGCTGGCGCAGTGTAGGTCAGACTCAACTACAGTCCTGCCAAATTTCGTGTTGACCGGTGCAGCTGTTTTTGTGCTATGGTTGACCAAAAATCACTGAAAAAAAAAACATTACGAAAACAATATGACTCCCGCTTACACTTCGTGTGCAGGGGTCATAAATATTGTACATTTTTTAATAATGATTCTCAGCTGGTGGGTCATGGTCCTTTGCCTGTACACAAAAAGAAAAAACCATCAATGCTCCAAATGTTACATCAGACTCATTTTAATAAGACGTAAAACKACATTTTTTAAACAACTTGTCAGCTGTTGGGTCTTTTAATTTCCTGTTTGTGTGTAAAGGTTTTGTTGAGACTCTTTAAAGAAGACAAAAAAAAGTAACTTAAGTGAAGAGATTTGATTTTGATTCAATTCAAATCTAGCTATGAAACCATTTCCTATCTATCATTAGCACTTGTTGTTTTGCTTTATCTGTAAACTTATATTTTAGTGTTGATGGTGACCTTCTGTTCTGTCTCCTGTTTAAACACAAACTTCGTTTCTTTCAATATATAAATCTGGTCCAGCTGATATTGACTTAAGAACATTTGAAAATCTTTTCCTGCATCTCAGAACTGATTTGAAGCCATCATTAAAGCAGCCTCTTTATTTATATCATGTTTGTTAAAAATGGCATTTAAAACTGGAATTTCTCCAACAGCTTAAACACTGAAATGTTTAAATCTGTTTTGATGTCAGTCAGCTCAATATAAAGTTATGTCAGATTAAATATTTTAACACATCTAGTTTCTTCTCTTATATACAGTATA